GGGATTAAATTTGGAAAAACCCATACGCAGAGCAAAGTTCATTTAACTGATCTGCACTTCCAGATGGAAGCACGGGGAATGTTGACAATAAAAATGGTGACGACGACGATGATGATGGTGAATTTGCTGTTCCTCTCCCAGAAGGTTTTGTACCGAGGGTGTCCCGTGTCGACGATGAGGCGCATGATAATAACGATGATGACGACGACGGTGAATTTGCTGTTCCCCTCCCGGAAGGTTTTTTGCCAAAAGTGGATGCTGATAACGAGGAGGTGCATGATGATGACGATGATGAGGCGCATGATGATGACGATGAATTCGATAATCTTGGCGATGGGGTATGTTCCATTGATGATTTATCTTATCAGAAAACTTTAATTTTTTTCTTATTTTTGGGGCGAAAAATGTTAAAATTGCCTTGATTTTTGATCGGTTTTGATAAAATGAGTGTTTTTTAGATTCCGATTGTCGAATTGATACCCGCTGCATCCGAAGCCGAGCTGCATCATGGAAAAAAGCCGGTAGGTATTGTTATTTTACATGAATATCTCACTATACATGCCCATTTGTTTGTGTAGTAATTTGTTTTTATCGTCTAAATATGGGGTTTTTCTGGATGGTTTTGAAAAATAAGAATCTTTTTACGTACTTTTTGAAAAATAGAAGCACTTAGAAGTCGATCAGGTGCTAAAAATGCCCTCATTAATCACACCCTGACAAGGTTGTTGATGTCCCGACCTTCTAAACAGAAGGGTATATTGATATAGGAAGGAGAATCGAAAAGAAAATTTCGAAACAGGAATTAAGAAATTAGTAAAAGTAGTGTAATTATCTTAATAAAGTTATTATGGTAGCAAAGTTATGCCAAAATGTAGAAATTTTAAAGATATAAACTGTGAATATTCCTAGCTGGGAGATTAGAAGAGGACGGGAAGCCAGAATTCGTCTATGTGTTAACATATGCAGTTTGTTTGGCGTTATTGGCCCACTGGTAGAGAGGAACACAATCGATTTTGATAATTAATGTGAAATACTGAAAACAGTGCTATTTAAATCTCCCAAATAATCACTACCTGTATGTGCAGTGATTTGGTAGTCTGCCTGTGTTTCATCCCTAAGCTGTATTCTAAAATTGTTCTGAAGCAATCTGATGGTGCTTTCTAACTCTCTGATCTGCGGCAATATCAGTTTGCCGTCCAAACTGAATGAGCAAATTGTAGAGGGACTGATTGTTCTGCTGCCGGGCTTGTACATTGATTTTTAGGTTAAAACTTGTGCTTGCTTCTTGCTGTAGCGTAATTGCTGCTAGTTGTGGCACTGTGGTAAATGTTCAGGAAAGTGAACAAAAAGAGATTAGTTGAAATTCTAATCAGTTTTGCCATCGTTTGCAAAACGGAAAAAAAGGTGCCTTTTTCTTTTGGTTCTCAGAATCCTAAAATTTTTTTGGTTTTTTAGATGCTGTGCTTCTTACGTTTTTTTGTAATTAGTGATGTTACTACGGCCGTTTCTTAAATATGTGTAATTTTGCTTCAGGTATCAGCGCTAGCGTTTGATCAGCAAGGCACGAAATTTGTCACTGGCGGCTATGACTACCTCGTGAATTTGTTTGAATTTCAAAAAATGGATCTAAGTTTACGCAGTTCTCGAGAACTTATGCCATGCGAAAGGTTAGTTTTTATATTTTTTGGAGCATAAAATAAACAAAAACACACAAATTATGACAGTTAAGTTCAAAGCGAGCACAAAAAATCGGTGTAATTGGCAACTTGGATCAGCCGAACGTCATAGCCTTATTTTCCAGTTTTATGCATTTGACAGATTTTCAGTTGATTGATTGTTTGGAGCTGACATTTGTTTTGCCTCCTGAAAAATTTGCGAATTTATCAATTTAGCAAACTTATAAACTTAATAACATTCATCACTTGTTTTTTAGAGTGGGGTAAGGGGAAGACGAGATAGGAGAGG